GACTGATTTGAGAATTTTTTGTCAATATTTGAAAGATTGCAAAATGTTTCTTATGACATTTGCTTAACATTGAAGTTATATCAGAGAACTAGTTTCATTATATCACATAAACTACAAACCCCCCCATATTTCTAGATGTTAAATTTACTTTTTATTTATTAAGTTCTTTTATTTAAAAAGTTTGAAGTTAAAAATAATTTTTGTATGCATTTGTATTAGTTTCCTAGTGCTGTTGTGGCAAAGTACCACAAATATTGGCTTAAAACAACAGAATTTATTCCTCAGAGTTCTGAAGACTAAGTGTTTGAAGTCATGGTGTTGGCAGGGCCATGCTATCTTTGAAGGGCTCTGGGCGAGAGTCTGCTCCTTGCCTTTCTGTTATCTCCGGTGTTGCTGGCAATTCTTGGCATTCCAATCTCTGGCTCTGTGGTCAACTAGAGTTCTCCCCATGTGTCTGTCTTGTTTGTCTGTCTTTGTGTCTCCTTTCTCCTTATAAAGACACCAGTCATTTTGGATTAGAGTCTTCTTTGATACAATATGACCTCAATTTATCTTGATTATATCTGAAAAAGCTTTATTTCCAGATAAGGTCACATTCACTGGTATTACAGGTTAGATCTTCAATATATCTCGTTGGAGGATGCAAGGCAGCCCATAACAACATCCAACAATTGCAGAAAAATGGCTTTAGAAAGATGTTGAAAAAGGGACCACAGCAGTATTAGCACCTTTTAGATCCTTTTTCTATTTCTTTCCATCAAAGTCCTGACTTTGGGTCATCTGCTTGGATATTAGGTAATTATAGCCTCAAATTATTTATGATTTAAGAAAGTCGTAAATTTCCTTTTGGAGCATTTTTCCACTGACCTATTATTTCAGAAGTCTTTTCAATGAATCTTCTAAGATCAGAAACCATAAACAAACTGACTGGGTTTGGTTGTTTGTCTTATACTGCCTGTGATTAAATAATTATAAATTATATGACATTGCTAATGGCATGACAGAAAACATTGTCTTTTCATTAATTTTAAAATGTCTTATGATCAAATTTATTTGTATATTTATATCAATTATACTGTAACAGATTGTAAAAATGAAAAATAGTCATAATAACAAAAATAATAGTAATGTTAAAAGCTAAACACTTGAAGTGAATGACCTCATTTATTTCTTAGAATGACCCAGTAAGATAAAGATTATTGTTATCCTTCTCTCTACATATGCCCAAACTGAGGCTTGTGGACATGTGAATCTTGTCCAAGAGCTTCATGGTAATTGTTGAAGCAGGGTTTAAACCTGGCAGTTTGACCCTACAGACTAGCTCCCATCGTCTGTGCTACACGTTGTTTTTGATTTTTTTTTTTTATTTTTCTGTCCAAGACTTGTGACATTGCTCATCAGTATGATTTTTTAATTAAACTTTTTATTTTGAAATAATTGTAGATTCACAGGTAGTTGAGAAATAATACAAAGAGTTTCTTTGTATTCTTTACCCAGTTTCTCCTAGTGATACTATCTTGCAAACTTTAATATTGTTTCAAAACCAGCATGTTGACATTGATACTGGCAAGATACAGAATATTTTCATTACCACAAAAATCCCACTTGTTGCCCTTTTATAGCCATATCTACCTCTCCAACTCCCCATAATATCCCTCCCTCCCTCCATTGGCAACTACTAATCCAATCCATTTCTATAATTTTGTCATTTCAAGAGTGAAACATCTAACCAAATGGAATTCTGTAGCGTGTAACCTTTGGGGATTGGTGCTTTTTCACTCAGCATAATTCTCTGGAGATTTGTTCAGGTTGTTGCATGTATCAGTAGACCATTCAGTTTACAACTACTAAATAGTATGCCATAAGTATGAGTGTACCACAATTTGGTATTTGCCTGGTGAAGGATGTTTGGGTTGCTTTCAGCTTTGAGCTATTACAGATGAAGTGGCTATAAACATTCATGTACAGGTTTTGTGTGAAGTTTTTGTTTTCTTGGATAAATCTTGAAAATGCAAGTGTTGTATTATATGTTAGTTGTATGTATTATATGTGAAACTGCCAAACAGTTTTCCAAAGCAGCCCATGAATTGAAATTGATTTTTTATGCCTTATTTTATAGCTGTGTATTTACAGAATTTACATTTGGAATTTCTTCTTGCTACAAATGATTCTTTATTCTTTAAAGAATATTCTTTATCAAATATTCTTTATCAAATAAATATTCTTTATCAAATATAATTTGCAGTGTTATTGAGGCATGGATTTATAAGGAGATTTTTTTTTTTTTTTTCTGGAATGAGTCAGTTAACTAGTAGATAAGCCTAGTGGTCTGCTCAGTTTTTACATCATAGTGAGATTTTATTTTTCTCATTAACTCTACTTTGTATAATATAAAAAGTATACATAATAGGGGTTTTTAATAGTTCTTAATAAAATAATGGCTTACTTTTATATATTAAAAGGCACACCCAATTTTGTCCTGAAATGAAGCCCTCCAAATGTTCAGTGATTGAACTGTTGAGAGTGCTATATTGATTCTATAACTAAATACAGGTGATATTTTATTGCAATACTCATTTATGCAAGTGTCATTACTTTGTTGTTCTCTGATAAAATTTGTTTGTAGATAATTCCTTTACAAGTGTCCCTTGTAAATAGCTCTTGTGATAAAGGAGGCTTAGAGTGGCTAAAGCATAATCTTTCTAGCAGGACAATATCAAGTGTATTTATCAGTCTTAACTCATGTGCATTATATCTTAACTTCATTGTTCATGGCTGTTGTATTTTTCCTACAGTATGTTTTTCTGCATGGCATCTGGCATTACTACTTGATTAGTCCTATAGTATTTTACTTTTTTTAATTTCCAATTTTTTTTCATAATTAATATTTCATTTATGTCTTCATGGTTTTATGTGCTTTCATGAGACTTTTGATCTCTATGATTTCTCAGTTTACATATAATTCAAAAATGAATCGTTCATAGTTGTATTTATTTGCAGATATAGTTCACAAATAAGTAATATTTGAATGTACTTTATGCATTTTAACTTCCAAATAGGTAACAGATGTTTAACGTCACATTATAGAAATTCTTAAGTTAAATTTTATAAATAAATAAATTCTCAGACGACTTAGATTATTTGTGAACAGCCAGTAGTTCCCTTGAATTTTAACAATTATGAATTATAGATGTGATTGATTTCTAATGTAGTCACCAGATGCTTGTCTCTTTATGGGCTGGAATCATCAAATGAAAGCCATACTTCACTAAACCTTGGGAAACAATAAGCATATGGATTAATTCTATCAAGTGAATACAGACCTTATTTCTTTGTTAAAAATGAGCATAATGTGCAAAAGAGAACTTTAGTGAATGTTGTTGAAGGTTATTAATTAGTGGTGTTTCATGCATATGAATGCAACTTGGTGGAGATTTCTCAACCTTGGCACTATTGACATATTGGTTTGGATTATTCCTTATTATGGGTGGCTGTCCTGTGCTTTGCATCATGTTTAGCAGCATCCCTGGTCTCCCTACACACAAGATGCCAGTAGCCCTCCTACAGGTGGTTGCATTTAAAAAATGTCTGCACATCTTATTACCCGGGGAGCAAATCTCCCCTGTTGAGACCACTGAACTTGAGTGAAAGGTGATTGGGAAGAAGATGGCATCTTCTTCTACAATGATTGAGAAGTTTAGGAAAGTTTCAGCATGTGTCCCTGGTACATATCAATAGATTATTAACTTTAATTAGATCATAAAATAAATTTATTTACTTTGGGCAAATGATTGAATGAATAACATTGTGTGGGCATTATGAAGAACGCGAAGTGTGAGCTTGGATAGACAAATTTTGATTTCTAAGGGAAATTCCCAAATTATCTTTGAGTCTTCAGTTTCTTCATCACACTATATGCTGCTGTCAAGTAACCAAATCTCAGAGGTTCTTTCTTGGACCTGTCTCTTGAGTAGTCTTGTCACTTCCTCACTGGGTATTTGAAAGCTGAAAGATTCTCCTAGCTACTTGTCTCTCCTTCAGTCCTTTGCTACTGCTAGGCTAATTGTTTTAAGCACAAGTTTTGCTGAATCACAAAAATCTCTTCTGTTCCTCCATACCTGGCTTTATCTTGTCTATTCAACTTTATCTCTAAATCCTAATAAAAGGAACCTGTTTTCCAGCATGCCAAGTTTTTTTTTTTTTTCTTTCTGATTCCTGAATAAACTAAGGTCATATCTGTTCTATGCTTTTGCTTGTTTTTACCCTCGTATGGGATGAAAATATTTTTTCTTGGCCTGATCAGATTCTTACACATCACCACAGGCTCACTTGAAGCCCACCTCCAGCATAGGGCTGTCCAAAACTCATTTACTCCCTACTGGTCTCAGCTTGCTTTATTCTTAAAGCACTGAATTCAGGCATTACTCATTTTGGCTCTTCGGAATACATGGCTTTGTTCAAAGTAGTAACTAACAGTTTCGTGTGTACGATTTGTCTCTTCAACTGATTAATAAGTTCCTGGAAGACAAGTGTTTTGTGCATTTTACATTTCATCTAGCATATTATTATAGGTATAACGTGTACTCAGTAGAGATTTGTATAAATGGCTGGCTAGACATTGATTGTATTCTAATTCTGTTTTAATACCCAAATGGCTTATAGCAACTGATACCACCACATGCAGTCCCAGATTAAAGTTTAGAAAGACTTTCTGGATGTCAGAGAAAGAAGGTGTATTATCTTAGGTGAAAATTTGAGGGTAAAGACACCCTGGAAAAGGAAACTCAAACAGCAGTCTGTAAAGGAAATCTGTTTAGCTTATTTGTGTTGGATATGTGAAATTATGGTGCTATTAATGTCATTGTGGATATGAAATGTATGTCATTTTGAGCTTCTAGTAATGGAAGTAAATAGATGTAAAAGTAACAGTTGGCATGTATCTTAAAACATTTGGTTACAGAATTCTAACTGATCTTAATTTCCTTCTTTTCGAACACCAGATACATCTCACTACTGCACGAATGGACATTTGAAAGTGCCGTAGTCAAATGCTTCCAACCATGGAGACCTCATCGTTGCTCTCCTCACTGACTGATGAGTGTAAATCTGACAACTACATCGAGCCGCACTACAAGGAATGGTATCGAGTAGCCATTGATACTCTGATTGAATATGGGCTAGAAGCATATCAAGAATTTCTTGTCAAGGAACGAGTCTCAGACTTCCTAGCTGAGGAAGAAATTAATTACATTTTGAAAAATGTCCAGAAAGTTGCACAAAATACAGCACACGGTCCTGATAATGCCTGTGATGATACCTCCTCCTCAGGGACTTACTGGCCTATTGAGTCTGATGTGGAAGCTCCAAATCTCGACTTGGGCTGGCCATATGTGATGCCTGGACTCTTAGGGGGAACCCATATAGACCTCCTCTTTCATCCACCAAGAGCACACCTACTTACAATAAAGGAAACTATTCGGAAGATGATAAAAGAAGCCAGAAAGGTAATGACATTTCTATTTTGAAATGAAAAATTTGGAACATGTACAAAAATATGGAGCAGTATAATAGATATGTATATGAATACAATAATCTCTGTATGTGTAGCATAAATCTGAGAGGAGTGGTATTAGGTCCCTGTTAACGGTCTAGATTTCCTTCCCTTCTTAATGTACCCAAAAGACCTTCCCCAGGAGGCTAAGGTATATAGGCTGGGTATAAGGTGCTTTGACACTTCCATAAATTTAAAACACCTACGTTTTTCTGACTCTCTGAAAGGAAAATATATTGGTGGATCTGGTGAAGTTTTCCTTGTTCTTAACAGGACTGAGTACTAATTCTTGTCCTGAATATGTTTTATGCTATTAACTAAACCATAGGTTTACTAATCTATTTCTTGTGTGGAAATAGTATAAAATCAACTTGACATGGTAAGATTCTAAAGTAAGTTCCTGATATATTTAGTATTTTAAGGCCTTAGTGTTCTTTATCAAATATTTATATTGTCTTATACATCTCACAAATCCTATTTTAGAAGTCAAAACTATAGAAATTTTCTTTTAATCATTCAATAAAAGTTATAGAAAATTATCTCTGTTCTCAACACCATGTCAGGCACTTTGTAGAATGCAACAAATTCCCCAAGCTCAATCTAGAGTTTTAAAATGTTACGGACAAAAGGTTTTGATTTTTAGCTTTAATAAATTGTCTGGTTTTTTTTTTTTTTTTAGCTACAAAGACTAGACAATAGAGAAATTTAGCTCTAAAAGGGACCTTAGCATGCACATAGATATGACATTGCTTTCTTCTGTGTCAACAAGACACAGAAATGCTTGAAAAAGCATGCTTTTATGAAGTACAGAAATGTAAGACCCTTGAAATTTGCAGTGACATGGTAGTTTGCAAGACAGGCAACTAAAAGCCTAGCAATCATGTTAGGGAGACACAATGTTCTGAGGCTAATGTCAAAGGTAGGCTTTATAAAAATAAAGTGATTTTTCCCCAAACCTTTTGAGCTGAAGTAACCTGACTTTTTATCTGTGTTAACTTCTTTAGCAGTATCATGTTAATAGTTTACAATCTACTCCAATTGTTAAAAAAAATTAGCTATGGAATCTGGCACACAGTAAGTGGCCAAACTTTTATTGAATCAATTGAATGGTCAGTTCAATTTTTTAAATTGAACCATGAGTGTTTTTAAAACTATACTATCCTATGCTCTCTGAACAAATGATACAATTGTATTTTGTAAAACAACAGAACAAAGTTCAAGAATAAATATGAGTCCTTATAAGAGCAAAATAATAAAAGTCAAGTACTAACATTGGCTAATTTCTATTTGGGGACACAATATGCTTTTGAACCAAAATGTTAAAGGAAAATTGAAACAAAGACATTACTGAAGATTAAGGTGATTATTGTAGTAACTTAGTAGTTATGCATTCATCAGCCTACACCATAGCTAGTTTCCTTTGGGGCATTGCATTTCTGTGATGTAAAATGTTCATTCAGCAGCTATCATAAGTTTTTTGACTAGCACTCATTGGAAACTATTAGTTACGACTTTTTGATGTATCTTTCTTACTAATCTGGCAGCTATGTATTTAATGAGTGTCTACAGGTAAGTATCCTTTACCTGGTCATTGTCTGCTGGGAACTCCCCCTCGAATTAGCAAGCTGAAGAAATTAAAGTCTATACTGTAAGATGGAGATCTAGTGTTCTGCTTCTCTTCCGTAAAATCAAAGTGGCATACAATAATAAAGAATTTTACCTTTATTGGAGTTGTATACTACATATACCTAAGCTGAATTCAAAGAAATAATTTTGATCTTGTAAATTGAGTATATTGTAATTGAATATATATCATAAGAGATAACTTAGTTGTTGGTTTTTAAAGCATTGGAGAATGTGCTAGTCGCTCCTCAGATGCAATAAATATTGAGTTCAAACTGGCTATATATGCATGGAATGTATATTTCTCAAGTATTTTGGAAGTTTCTTCAGGCCACCATGTTTATTTAAAGGCTTTTGAAGGATCAAGTATTCTGGAAAAAAAAGTTATTGACCCCATTTTTAAAAAATTAATATTTTTTAAATCTTATAACTGGACAAGTTCCTATGATAACTTTTAAAATGAGAAGAAATATTATGAAATAAAAACACATTGTCAGAACACATTGTTTTTTAAAGATTAAATATGGTTTTCATGACTATCATTTACTCAACAGATAAATCATATTATTATCCTTCAGAATCAATGGAAGCCTGGTAGTCATTGGCATAAACTTTGATTTTGAACCTTTTTCAGAGGATAACTTATCTTTATGGGTAGCTCAGTGAATTGTCACGGCATTATAAAGGGGATGATCTTTTTGTCATAAAGTGTCTGAAAAATATATATTTTAGTAGGAATAGAATAAAGTTTCTTGCTTCCACATTTCTCAAGGAGATTCTTTTGGTAATCAACATTGTAAAACTCTGTGGAGATATGAGGCCAAACAAGCAGGGCTAGGAACCAGCAAAGCAGAACCCAGGAATTGATCTCAGATAAGAATTTAAATCCATTTTCTCAGTTCTATTTGCAATTGAGATAAGGTACTTATGAAAATAAATGCCATTTTGTGGAAAAATCTTAAATTAATGAAAAGACTCCAAAAGCAGTGTGCTTAGAGGTACAAACATTTGAAGTCTGATTATAAGCACCAACTTAACCTTCCAGTCCCTTGTGAAAGGTATTAAAAATGATACTATATGCCATCTGTCTTTACTGGAAATATTTGAAATACTTTGTGTTTAAATTTCACTAATTTATATGCTCTTATTTCTAACTTACGGTATATAGAATCTGGATCATTTTGTTTTTATAAGCAGAATGTGATCTTTATAGTATTTTAAAAGTCTGTTGGTTTTTTCATTAATTTTATTTTTGCCAATTGTCACTCAGAAGTTGTGTAGAGGATTTTTTTTTTCCTTTCTTATTTTTGCTTATGTTTGCTTGTTTTGTTTGAGAATTTTCCTTTGGAAAAATCGAATTATAGATAATATCTTACTTGTGCCCTAAAGGGACATATTCTAAATTTACTGGCTCTTTTTTTGTTGTTGTTCCTACCCCTTTCTATTTTTCAGTGTGGTGGTGTTGACATAATTACATTTGGGTCAACTTTGTGAAGTCTGATAGTGTCTAGCAAGATTTTTCCCATGTAATTATTTGTCTCCTAAAAAGTGTTCCCAAGATGATATATGCATACATTCCTAATTACTGTGAGCTCTTCTTATGAAAACATCCCCTCTAATTACTTAAAAAAAAAGTCATCTTTCATTAAAGTAATTTATTTCCTAGCCACTCAGTGGTACATAAAGTTATAACTTTGGTTCTAAATGTTTCACCAGAATATTATTTGCATCTCTGTTTCTTAATTCTAGGCTAGCTTCTTTTGTGAGAAGTGAATCTTACTCTTGTGAAATATGGAATCAAGAAGATACATAAGCAAAAGTCTAGTGATAATTAGGGCAGAGTAATTCCTGAGGTGCTCTGTACCACGTCACCTGAGTTCAGGGCTTGGTTCCTCCATGAATCACTGTTCCTGGGTGTGTCTGTTATGGCTTTGGGAGTTATTAGTAATATAGAGAAATATTAACTGTCAGTTGGCCCCACAGATGCAAAGGGGAAGATGAACAGATGCTGGGGACTCTTTCTGGGAGTCAGCTGGTATTGTAAAAGCAGTCCTAGAGGCTTGGTCACCAGGACTCTATATTAACTGTGGCATTAAACAGGTCTTTGCACCTCCCCAGGCGTCTTCATTCATTTAGGGAAAGATACAAAGCAAAAGGGTTTTTTTTTTTAATCTAGTGTCCCTATCCAAATCTCTAATATTGCTTACCAATTTAAGATTATTTTAATGTGTTATATGACTTACTAAATTAGTTCTTGATGTGAATGATTCTTACTGTGTCATAGCATATTACTTCCATCTGAATTACTTTCACTTTGTAACCATATCCTGCCCAGCTAAGTGACATTTATATATTTATCAGTGCCTTCTTTAGATTAGAATTATCTCTGTCCTTATGTTCCCAATTTTTATTAACTGTTTTCTCTCCACCCTATCCCTGTTTCAACTCCCACTCTGAATCCTTTCATTCTTTGAATTTGAGTCAAAATGAATTTTTTTCCAGGAAATACATTTTGCTTAGTCAGATTTAATGACCTTACTATTCTGTGACCAAGTCGAACATCCTTGAATAAAATGTTACATGTTAATATATATTTAGGTTTGAGTGTGTACTTGTGAGAGAGAGTGAAGGAAGAAACGAGGGAGGGAGGAGAGGAAGGAAATATGGAGGGAGAGAGGAAGGGAAAGTTAGAGGGAAGAGGGAAGGTAGCAGAAAGGGAGAGTAAGGGAAGATGGGAGGGAGACAGGAAAGAAGGAAGGGAGGAAGGAAGAGAGATAGAGAGAGATCTTGTTAAAATTGCATTGACTTCACTATGCCAACTATTGCTGTGTCTGTATGGGAATATTTTGTTTATGCCAAGCTCCTGATGCTATATACAGAGAGATAATATATTCTATTTTTTTTTTTTTTGGTTCATTCATCTGCTTGCTTCCTGCACTATTACCAATAACCGTAATGATATTAAATATGCTATTTTTAATGCAGTTACTTAAAAGAATGGAGAGAGGAAAGAAGGTGCCATATAGGGACTTTTTTAACCTTATTGCAAGACAGTTTTATGCTTCCTTGATTGATTTGATAACTTTTATGGACAAAAAGCTATAGACTCTTTTTTCTTTTCTTTTAATTGCCCAAATGCTAGTATTTTTTCTTTCTTTCTTTTTTTTTTTTAAGAGGCATCATGGAATGCTGTGAAGACTCTGAATCTGAATCTCAGAGCCAAAAAGGGCTGGGTTGAATCCCAGCTCAACCAGCTCTTCATGTTAGACATGACAAATGCAGTCTCTCGGAGTTGTTTATCTTTTCCATCTGTGAAATAGAGATGCTAAT